AGTGCTACATATTAAGTGCATAAAGAGTTATTGTTCTAAGCACTTTTGAAAACACCCAGATTTATAAAAGAACCATGTAGCTCCAATGACATTCAAGGAAAGCAAAAGACCAAATAAGGCCCAAGCAGCAGAGCATGCTCCTGCAGAGACACAAGAAGGAAGAATATATTGAGAAGGAGATAATTTATCGTTTTCTCTGTTTATTGGAATTTAGTTTTATATTTCACATTTAAATGAGTTGGACAGTATTCAAACACCACCTGACACCTGTATCCAACACATTGAAAAATGTTTTCCAACAGACAAGATCTGACATAGAAAAGAATGTGAGACAAAGCTAAGACATGCTCTTAGCTTAAAGAACTGGTCGTATTTCACTGGGTGGAGCATCACTCATTGATTGATTAACTTATCTCTAGGGTAATCGAACTACTTCTTTAACGTAACTATTCTCCAAGGAATTCGAACTTCTAGGGCATGATGAAAATACTTAAATATGGAGATAAATTTATATGGAATAATTTTACTCATAGTCTAGATATTCAAGTCTCTGTTTATATCTTTCAATAGGAGAAAACAAGAAAACCAAACAGAGTAACATCTAAATGACACAACATCCACAAAAGCTCAGATCTAAAAAAGAGAAACAAAAGATACATTTGGACAAACTGCACAGCTAAATCCAAACTGATCTTACCTGATGCCACATGCACATATAGTTGACCATGTTTTATTCCATATGAGTTAGCTGCTTCACACTCATAGAGGCCATTTAGATAAGCGGTCAGACTCAGCAGTTGTAGCTTTGCACCCTCTTCTTTGACAGCAGACTCCAGGAAAGACTGGCCAGATCTGGAAAAAAAACATGAATGAGGCTCAACATTAAATATACATAAAGTGAGTGAGTTGTGATTCGTGCCAGACAATACTTGGACTACAGCTTGAGCTGTGGGGGAATAAAGGCAGTTGACAAAGTCTGTCTTTGGTGAAAAGCAGATAAAGAGCCATTCAAAAAACACTATGAAGAGTGGGTTTTCATGGTGGAGTTATCAAGGCCCAACCCAGAAACGAGGCAAATGGTGAGCGGGAATCCCTGGGGCGAGGCTTTAACCCATGAGGCCCTATTAAGAATATCCTGAAGAAATAACATGTGCAGGAGGTGTCCTAGGTGTTAGGTACAGTGTTTATCAGGGGCAGCCGAGGGGTGGGTGTGTCTTGGTAGAGGAGATCTGGTGCAAAGACAGAGTTTCTGGATAGTTTTAATCTCCCAAATATAGCAAAAATCTGTTGATACATATCAAAAAACTTTTCTTCGCACCCAACTCTGCTATGGTACCTTAAATCTGATAGGACCACTAGCACACTGTGCTTAAAAAATCATGCCTTACGCAGTAAAAGAAATATTTATACTTTACCTGCTCCAGGTAAAGTTTGCATTTGGGTTGGCTTCTGTCACACACTCAAATGAGTCTTCTGAAATCACTGAAATGTTCACTTCTGTAGGAGAGACTGCAAAAAATAGAGCGAGAAATGTGTTAATCTTGAACTGAGGAAATATTTATTCTATCAAAATAACATCTCACAAATGTTTTAGTAAATTTTGGTTAGTTTCGATTTTGTTTTAAAGCCATTTTAGAAAACAGTTCTTTTCCTGCTTCATGGTTTTCATTGGCTCACTTACATACACTTAAAGCTTTAAGCTCTAAATTTGAGGTATATTGTCCTAAACAAGCATACTGTTGTGTTACTTATTTTATACCGTTGTTTAGGAGTCCAAAATAAACTCTCATAATAAAGCTTATTGCAGTGGAAACTGTTAATGGGGTTTATTATTATTTTTTCTATGCATACAGACAACAAACAACTAAAATTACTGATCAAACAATAATATTTTTTCCATTTTAATATTCTTTAGTTACTATTTTATGTGACCGAGGTAAATGTTACAGTCCCACTCAACATAGAGAAGTAAGGAGAAACGTGTCTCAATTTAATACTTAATGCTACTTGTTATAAAAAAGTGTGTCTGCTTTTGTTAAAAACACTGATGTAGGGTTTGTAAAAAGAACTGAAAGGATAGACATTACATTATTTATAAACAAATGTATTTTACCATTAGATAATGAAGCTATTTTTGTCTCATGGCTGGATGACTGGTACAGAGTAATTTAATACTGTGACATGAGGTTTTTGCTCATTTCAGTTCAGTAGCATCACCTTATGGTTGAATGTAAACGTGGGCGTGTCTGGCTGTGCACCTTGTTAAATAGCAAATTAAATAATTAAAATTATTAAATGGACAGCAACACAAAAGAGGGCAAATAATAAATTCTATTAACAGCTGATACTCACAGTAGACCTGTATGGTGAAGGGCAGGGTTTCTTCCTTAGCCAGGGAGTCACCACTGATGACACACTGGACCTTGTGACCGTTAATCTCTCTTGTAGGAACGCCAAACAGAGAGCTGACTGTGGTAGTCGTATCGTTGTCATACTGGGTGGAGTTTGTTGTTGTCCTCACTTTGTCTGCCAAAGCATCAGTGAGCCACCTCACCTCTGGGGGAGGTCTCGATCCAGCAGCCGTGCAGGTAGCAAATAAAACCTCTTCTGTGCCCAAAGTGGGAAGATTGTCCTTGATGTGTGTGAAAGGAGGCACTAGGAGAGTTACAGCACTTAAATAAATCAACATGCAAGCAGGATGGTGAAAGTAACTCCTTCTCCATGTCACACACAAACACGGAGTATTTTAAATAAATGTTTTTTCATACCGAGCAAGTTTAGAGGTATCTCAGTCTTCTGATTTCCACCGGGAAACAAGGTGAAGATGCACGTGTAGCTGCCTTCATCCATCAGGGTAACATTGGATAACTGGAGAGTTCCATTTTTGTCATTAAAAATTCCGACATATTTAAATCTATCATCATGTCCATTGACAAACTGGAGTCCATTTCTGGGTTGGATAGTAATAAAATTGTCATGGTGAGGTTTTTCTCTCGTCTTCCTTTGCCAGGTAATCTGTGTCAGGTCATCATTGGTATCAGTGACATGACATGGTAAGATGGCCGTACCTCCTTGAACCACTGTCACACTTCCACCAATCACCTGCAGAGCTATAAAGAGAATGAAACACTATAAAACTAAACTGGACAAAGCAGAAACAGAGGATCCAAAAAGATTTACTGGTTTAAACACTAAAGTACAAGTTTACTTATGTCTGGCCTCCTCAAAAACTCTTGAGGGAGAGGCTGGAATTTCATTAGAAACTTGATGCATCGAATCTGTGTGATACAGTGCATCTTAGATGAAGCTAAATGAGAATGCCATAGATCTTACACACCAAATTGATTACCTTATTTCACAGGTTTGGCACATCCTTCGTAAAACAAAAATAAAAAATAAAGTCCACTTTGGACTTTCAGCCTTTGTTATAGTATTTGTGGGGATAAGTAAACTGATTATAGGCAGTTGAAAGTCATGGCTGTATTGCTAAAACAGGACGAGCTGGATTATATTCTATGCTCCAGCTACTGACTTAGCAAACACACCTTCATCATGACTTGAATTTTCACAGCAGATTGAAATTGAAGTGTCTAAAATTACTGTAACAGTTTGCAGAGAAGGCAACACCCATGTTTTGATTTAATGGTCTCATTCCTTGCCTATGCATCATGATTCTGCTGGGGTGTGCAGTTTTGTTTACCCTTGCTAACAGACAAAGTAATGACTAAGTATAGGATATGTAAAGATGTTTTTGCTCATTTCCCACATACTGTGTCTGAGAGTGAAACAATGTGAAATTTGATCATGATCTTTAGCATTTCTTTAGCACTATCCAAATTTAGCTGTGGCTCAAACTGGTATCTATAACCATATTTAGAAACTCAACACTAATTTGGGAACTTATTACACAAAGGCAAAATCACAAATTTCACAAATATATGGACTATAGAAATCCCTAGCACAGCAGGTTCACAGCACA